GAGCATCGTGTGGGTGCCCGGCTCTGAGGGAGTGCAGGTGTACGGGGCAAGTCCCCCGGGAGCTTTCACCTCAGGCTGCTGCAAGGGGCTCCTGCCGGCTTTGAGCTCTGCACCCCTCGCTTCCCCGTGCTGGCTCTGCAAACCTCCCCGTGCCGGGTCTCTGCCGCAGCCCCCCAGCCCCAGGAAGCCGTCTGGCTCCCCACGCACTGGGAGGAGCGGGAAGCCCTTGGACTCATCCTAGGGCTCTGGCGTTGGGCCGAGACGGGAGCTGGCGGCCAGGAAGCTGCGTTGCTGACGTCCAGCCAAGTGCTGAGCTTGGACGTCTGTCCAGTGTCCACTCTGTGTGTCCGTGCTGCTGGGAAAGGCTCGAGGCAGCGACACTTCTGGGGGGGTGGATGTTCTTCCCCGCCTAACTCTCCTCTCTCCTTCCCCTGAGCAGACAAGGACCCTCTGCCTCACAAGAATGTCTCGACTTTGACCATAAACTTTGGGCCCCAGCACCCAGCTGCCCACGGGGTCCTGCGGCTGGTCATGGAGCTCAGCGGGGAGACGGTGAAGAAGTGTGACCCCCACATTGGCCTCCTGCACCGAGGCACTGAGAAGCTCATCGAGTACAAGACGTATCTCCAGGTAAGGCACAACAGGCTCCCAGTGCTTCTCCATCCCGGGGGCTGGTGTCTGTCTGTGGGGAGAGCAAGGGGTGTCCCTTTGGGTGAGGAAGCTAGGAGGCGAGGGGCTGTTGGCATCCATCTGTCAGCAGCTGCCTCACCAGATACGTCAGCAGCCTTCTAGATGCGTTAGGAGGGGATTTATTTGCCTGTCAGGGTTTGCAGTGGTGTTTGTAAACAGACCCTGCTGATTTGTTATTCCAACTGGGTTTAACCTTTCTGTTGGCAGCAGAAATGGAGCTTGAAATAGTCCAGGGCGGGGGGGGGAGCACCGTGACAGCCATGCTCAGCTGCATGGCAGAGACGGTTCTCAGCTGGCGTGTGCTGAGCATGCAGTGCCTGCGAGCTGGAAAACTCTGGCAGAGGGATGTTGTCTGTTTTCCCGCACGCTGTATCCCGAGACAGGGCTGTTCCAGCCCGGGGCCGGAGCTTTTGGGCCGCCTGCGTGGCTGCTACGGTGCTCACAGCGCCCTGAGCTGGGAAGACGCCGTGCCTGGGGGCTGCGTCCCAGCGCCCCCCGGCTGGGACGAGGCCTTTGGTGCTCCTGGCAGTGCCGGCCCTTCGCTGCCCGGCTCCGGGTGCCGGCAGCTGCCGCCGACGCGTTTCTTTCGGCAGGCGCTGCCGTATTTCGACCGCCTGGACTACGTCTCCATGATGTGCAACGAGCAGGCCTATTCCCTGGCTGTGGAGAAGCTGCTCAACATCCGCCCCCCCCTGCGGGCTCAGTGGATCCGAGGTGGGGGTGGCCCCATGCACCCCCGTACCGTTTCCACGGGGGCCCCAGCTCCCGTCCCGGAGGCAGGCGCTCCTGCCTGTCCTCCTGAGGGCTTGTAGCACTTGGCTTTCTGGGGGCTCAGCCCCTGTTCCCCCTCCCCAGTGGGGTGCTCACCCCCCTGTGCCCCCTCTGCCCCCAGTCCTCTTCGCAGAGATCACTCGGCTGCTCAACCACATCATGGCCGTGACCACGCACGCGCTGGACATTGGGGCCATGACCCCCTTCTTCTGGATGTTTGAGGAGAGGGAGAAGGTAAAGGGCAGCGCAGCTGTGCCGGGGGAGCGGATTTGGGGTTTGGTGCTGCCCCTCTGTGCCAGGATGCAGCGGGATCCCCTCTGTCCCTGCAGATGTTCGAGTTCTACGAGCGGGTCTCGGGGGCACGGATGCACGCTGCCTACATCCGCCCTGGCGGGGTGCACCAGGTAAGGGGGGCTGCGCCGTGCCCCGGCTCCCTGCAGAGCCCCTCCAGTCTGGCAGGGATGAGTGGGGTGTCCCTGCGTGGGCAATGGCCCCTCCAGTGCCACTGGCCACGCACGGGCTGACCTCCCCTCTCCTCCCACGCAGGACCTGCCCCTGGGGCTGATGGACGACATTTATGAGTTCGTGAAGAACTTCTCCATACGGGTAGACGAGGTGGAGGAGGTAAGGCAGGACGGGAGCTGGGCTTCTGCTCGAAACCTGGGAGGGAGGGACAGTCCCCATTTCCCAGCACCCTGAGGGCTGGGATCTTGCGTGGCCTGTGCCCTGGGCTCAGCCAGCGCGGGGTTCTTCCTCCTGCGGCAGTGGTGACAAGGTGACAGGGGTCAGGAGAGAGGGTGCGCAGTCAGGAGGGGCAGCCGGTGCGGGGGACGGGTGACTAACACCTTGCTGCCCTCAGATGCTGACCAACAACCGCATCTGGAAGAACCGCACCGTCGACATCGGGGTGATAACGGCGGAGGAGGCTCTCAACTATGGGTTCAGGTGGGTTTGGGGGCTCCTGGGGATGCTCCGGAGGGGCTCAGCCTCCTGCCACTGCCCAGCTGTGTTGTGTCCCCCCCGCCAGAGGGATCAGTGGGAGTCCCTAGGGCCGATCGGAGCTGTCTTGGGGACCGGTGATACCCGGTGATGGTCAGGGCGGTGGCCACAGCACGGCAGGAGCTGTGACGCCGTGTCCTGTCTGGCTCTACCCACCCGATGTCCCCAGGGTGTCCTCCCGTGCCTGCTGCTCAGGGCTGGGGGGTCTGTGCAGGGGGGGACACGTGGCCGCTTTCCCCCGTGTCGGGGTCCGCTTTGGGGTGTAGGGAGGGCCTGGAGCTGGCGTGGGGCTGGGACCCCTGCTTTGGGTGGGCTGCTCACCTGCCTCCCTCCGCCCAGCGGGGTGATGCTTCGGGGCTCGGGGATCCACTGGGATCTGCGCAAGACCCAGCCCTACGACGTCTATGACCAGGTGGAGTTCGACGTCCCCATCGGCTCCCGGGGCGACTGCTACGACAGGTACGTCACCCCCCGGCTCTGCCCGGGGCCGTGGGGGGTCTCGGCAGGGTCACGCCTCCTCCGTGGGCCTGCACTGAGGCTGGGGCTTCCCCATGGGGCGCCCACCACCCGGGGGGCAGGTCCTGAGCGGCGCGGGGGTCCCACAGGTACCTGTGCCGCGTGGAGGAGATGCGACAGTCCCTCCGTATCATCCTCCAGTGCCTCAACAAGATGCCTGAGGGGGAGATCAAAGTAGACGATGCCAAAATCTCCCCTCCCAAGCGTGCAGAGATGAAGGTAAAGGCGGTTCCTTCCCCCGCCACACGTCGGGTGCTTGTGCTGAGGGTTTTGCTGGTGGGGTCTGTCGCGCTCGGCTGGGCCCGGCCTGGTGACGGTGCCCGCCTCTCCCCACAGGCCTCCATGGAGTCCCTGATCCATCACTTCAAGCTCTACACGGAGGGCTACCAGGTGCCCCCCGGAGCCACCTACACGGCCATTGAGGCCCCCAAGGTGACACTTCTCAGGGCGTTACGGGGACAGTGACATGGTGAAGGGTGTGCTGGCTCTTGGGGACGTGGCAGTGCTCCTGTCCCCAGTGGGGTGGGCTGCTCTGCCCCCAGGACTGTGCTCTCGCACCAGGCTGGTGTCGGAGGGCTGGATGCTGCAGCTGGGAGACAGAGCCCCAGCCCCCTGACAGTGGCACGGCATCACCCACCCTGTCCCCGTGTCCTTGCAGGGCGAGTTCGGCATCTACCTTGTCTCGGACGGCAGCAGCCGCCCCTACCGCTGCAAGATCAAGGCGCCGGGATTCGCTCACCTGGTAGGAGCGGCACCGCCGCGGCGAGGGTGGGATTTGGGCTGGAGGGGACGAGCTTGCCTCCCCTCTCCCCTCGCTGGGCCTGCTCCAGCGTGGCCCCACCACGGTGGGCTGGGGCAGGGGTCCGTGGGCCACCGCCTGCGTGTCCCCTGGGGCCCCTCTGGGACTCGAACGCACCTCTCGTGCCTCTGCTGCTAGAGCTGGTTTCCTTCCTCTGCCGATAACTGACCACTTCCCTCCCTGCCAGGCTGTGCTGGTGGGGGCAGCACCCCCTCCCCTGCCTGCCCCAGCCCCGGGGGGAGCGGGCCCCCCCCTGACAGCGCAACACCAGCTCCGGAAGTGGTGAGCTGGGCCCTGCCCTGCTCGGCCGTCCCACCACTGTGCAAAGCCGGGGGGCAGAGCCGTCCCCCTCCTGCCTTGGCAGGCCTGGGGCCAGGGTGATGGGTGCTCGGGGGGTCTCCAGTGGGGGGCTGCAGGCTCATGAGGGTCCCTGTCGCTCTGCTTCAGGCCGGTCTGGATCGGATGTCACAGGGCCACATGCTGGCAGACGTCGTGGCCATCATCGGTACGTTCCCTCCTTGGGCCAGGGGCTCCTGCGGCTCTCGGCGGGGCTCCTTCCCCATGCCGGGGGGCTGGTCGTGCCCTGACCCCTCTCCCTCCCCCAGGCACGCAGGACATCGTCTTTGGGGAAGTGGATCGGTGAGGTGGCGGCCGCGCCGTGCCCATCTCCTGCTGTGTGTGCTGCTCCAGGCCGGGGGTTCCCCCGGTGCCCCTGCACCCTCTTCCTCAGCTGAGTCAAATAAAGACTAAACCGGGTCCTGCCTGTCCAGCCCTGCTTCGGCCGAAACCCACTGAAACCTCTCGTTCTTCCTCCCTTTCCCCACGTGAGACTTGTGGTCGAGAGCTTCCCCTTCCCGTGGTCACAGCCCTTCCCGGGCGGAGGATCTCGGGAGGGAGCCTGGAGGGATCCCTGGGCTTTCTCCTCCAGCTCCTGCAGACCGCAGGCTTTCCCCGACAGCCTTCACCCCGGGGGGCTGGTGGGTGCCCCTGCAGCCCCCCCCCGGGTGACCAAACCAGGGCCCGGGTGCCAGCAGGGCTGGGGCGGGCCTAGGGGACAGCTCACCCGGCCCTTGAGCAATGTCCCCACCGCCTTTTGCGGGAGGAGGGGACGGCTGCGCTGGCCGGTTCCTTTTTGGGGGGAGCGGGGGGGAAGTGAAGTGGGGGCGGTGCGAGGCGGGGGGGAGGAAGGCGGCGGTGGCTCTGCGGTCGCTGACTCCAGCGTGACAGCCCCAAGCTGCCGGACCCTGCTCGGCACGGTGATGGGCACCTGCCTGCTGCTCGCTGCCGCCCTGCTGCTGCTGCGGACCCCGGCGGCAGGTGGGGCCGGGGGGGTCCCGCGGGGACGGGGAGCGGCGGGGTGGGCGCACGGCTGTTGGGTTGGCTCCTTGAACGGCGTCCTCGTCCTTTGGGGCGAGCCGGGATCCGGTGAAGCCTCCCCACGGCCACCCCCGGGGTGCTTGTGGCGCAGAGGGGCGCCCCAGCGTGAGTCCCGGTGGGTCTGGGGCTCTGCGACGCCGTTGGAGGGGGCGTCGGTGCCGCCTGCGCCCCCCCGGGACCCTCCGCCGTCGCTGGCGCAGAGGGGGCCGCGCTCGGAGGCGGCGGAGCCGAGCTCTCGGCGACCAGGTCGGGTGCAGGACGTGCCCCAGGGCGATGCTGACCCGGGGACTCCCCTCTGCCCCCCTCTCCGTCCTCCCCAGAAGCCTTGATGGAGCCGGAGCTCTGCTACATCCTGGACGCCATCCTCTTCCTCTACGGCATCGTCCTCACTGTCCTCTATTGCCGCCTCAAGGTGAGCACCAGGATCTGGCCCGCAGCCCCCCTGTCCCCAGCTCGGGGACCCAGCTAAACTCCAGTGGGCCCCATTTTTGGGGGGTCATGACACCCCCTGGCATGCCATAGCGGGTGCCTCAGGGCTTCCCTGCCCATGCAGGGCTTTTTCCTCCTCTTATTTCTTTTTTTATTTTTTTTTGGCTTTTGGGCAAACCCCTCGTCCCCCTGCAGTTCCTGACCCACCGAGCGCTGCCCAAGGGAGCCGGCACGGAGGTAATGGCGCTGTCAGCAAAGGGCAGCTGGGACTGGGGAGCTTTGGGGCTGGGGTCCCGTGGGGGGGGCCTGCCCCCCCCCAACCCCGCCCCAGACAGTGCCCATCACAGCCAGTGCTGCAGCTGTGGAAGGGGAAGTGGAGGGGAATTGGGGAGGTCGGGGGGGCTCTGGTGGTCCCAGACTGGGGGAAAGAAACCTGGGAAACTTCCCCAGGGAGTGAGGGGAGAGGTGCGGGGGTGGGGGGCAGGTGTGTCCATGTCTGCCCCCCCTGCCCTGACCCTCCCCAGCTCTTTCTATTTCTCTTTCCTGGAGCAGAAAGAAGAAGCCATCTACACTGTAAGTCAGCCTGGGGGTGATGCGTCCCGGGGGGGGGGCCCTGTCCTGGGGGGGCACTGCTGATGGCTGCTGTCCCTGAAGGGGTTCCCCCCGCTGCATGTGCTGTAACTTGGGGGGTGCCCTGTCCCCCTTCCTCCCCCCACCCCCCCCAGCCTCGGGAGCACCCACCCTGGGTGCAGCCCCCATCCCCAGCCCCCTGGGGCCCATGTTGGGTGGGAAGTCTGTGCGGTGGGGTGACAGTCTGGAGGGGGAGTGGCGGGGGGGGACACAGGCACCCCGTAACCCCCTCCCTCCACACAGGGCCTCAGCAGCGAAGGCCAGGAGCTGTACGAAACCCTCCAGACCAAACACTCCTGACCCCGTCCTGCCGCCACACCGCAGCCGCCCCTCATCCCCCCCTCTGTCCCCAGCAGCTGAGGGGACCCCCCCTACCCCCCTCAGCCCCCCCCTCCTGGGACTGTGATGGAGAAATGAAGCTTTTTCCTCCTGGAAAGGGCTGGGTTTGGCCCCGAACTGCCTCCCGCTGTGCCCGGACCCCCTGAGCCTGCGGAGTGCTGAAGCTGCCCTGGACTGGGGGGTGCTGCCCCCCGCTTCTGATGCGCACCCCCCCCCGCCTCGTAAAGCAGCAGCATGTGCAAACGGGGTAGGAGGGTTTCTGTAAGGACGGGGGGAGAGCTGGGAATGGGGACGCTGGCACCGACTGCCAGCAGGGCTGGGCACCCGACAGGGACAGTGCCACGGTCTGCTGGGGACAGGGACCCCCCGGGGACCCCCCGGGGACAGTGCCACCGTCTGATGAGGATGGGGCCAGGGACACCGTGGGGCTGGGGACAGTGGCACTGGCTCCTGGTCGCTGCTGGCACACGTTTCTGGGTGGAGGAGGTACTCCCGGGGAGGAAAACCACCATTTCTTCCTGTTTAACCAAAAAACCTGTATTTTGAGGCTAATACCGTGGAAACAGCTCCTCCATCCCCCCCAGGAGCGGGGAGCAAGGGGAGAGGGAATGGGGAGTGCTGGACACCCTGTGCAGTGGCATCCCCAGCGTCCCGCGGATGTCACGGGACGTTCTCGTAGATGTCGCTCGGCAGCCGCAGCCGCGCGTGGGGACCCGGCAGCACCGCGTAGGTGACGGGTGACTCCGGGGGGGGGGCGGAGCGGGGGGACCGGGACGGGGAACTTCCTGGAAGAGAAACCCATTCGGGGACCCGTGCTGGCGGCGGTGACACGCGTGGGCGGCGTGTCCCATCCCCCCCCCCCCCCCACCTTACCTCCGCCCAGCTCGGCGACTGTGACTTGTGCGTACAGCACCTCCCCGTCCCCCGGCGCCCCGGGGGGGGCTGTGGGCTCCGGCCAGCGACCCTCAGGCTCCGGGGAGGCAGTGGGGTCCCTGTGGGGACAAGGGGACGCCTGGGGCAGGGGCAGATGGGGGAGAGGGGGAGCTGCTCTCCCAGCCCCCGGGAAAGGGGCGTCTGGCCAGACCCTCCCCTGCTCACCTGACCCGGCTCTTCCTGGCGGCTGCAAAGCAAAGGGGGGGGGAGGGTGAGCGGTGAGGGACCCCCGGCACCCCGAGACAAGGGCCCCAGAGCTCAGCCCTGCACACCCAGGAGGGAGGGGGGGACCCTGGGACTCAGAGCTGGTGGTACCAGGGATTCGGATGAGTGTTGTCTGGGGGTGCCAGACCCCAGATGAGACAGGGGAGATGTGGGCTGCAAGCAGGGAGACGCCCCCGAGGCACCCCAGGACCCCCTGGACCTCAAGCCAAGGACCACAGGGCTCAGCCCAGCTTGGCCAGGAAGGAGAGGAGACACCACCCCCCAGGACCTCTAGACCTCCGGGACCCCCAACCTATCCCTTCCAGGGACTCAGACCCACGCACCCAGATGAGATGGGGGGACATGGGCCACAAGCAGGGGGTTCCCCCAGGACCTCCCAGGACCCCAAGCCACAGGCACCGCGGGCCCAGCCCTGGCCAGGATGGGAGATGTGGGGTGCGCTCTGTGGATGGTGTGGGGGGCTTTCACTCCACCCAGGACCACCAGTGTGGGTGACCCACCCGTGTGGTGCCGGCGCTGGAGGTGCCAGGCCATGGCAGCGGCGAGCAGGAGCAGGAGGGACACGCTGAGCCCCGTGGCGATGGCTGGGGACAGAGTGGGGACGAGCCCGGGTCAGCCCCAAGGCTGGGGGGCCAGGGGACCCCGGGGGGGGGGGGTGAATGATCACGGCCCCCACCTGTGCTCTGCTGCCTCAATCCCCATTTCGGCTGCATCACCGAGAGGGCCAGCGCCGGGCTGCACGCCCGGAAGGTGCGGTGGGTGCCGAGGCGGTTGGTGGCCAGGCAGTGGTAGGTCCCGGCGTGCGCCGGATCCACGGTCCCCAGGGACAGGACGGGCCCCCAGCTCAGCTCCTGCCCGTCCCGCAGCCACGTGAAGGTCACCGGCGCGGTGCCCGCCTGCACCGAGCAGCTCAGGTTGAGGCTCTCGCCCGCTGGCACCGAGCAGCTCAGGTTGAGGCTCTCGCCCGCCGGCACCGAGCAGCTCAGGTTGAGGCTCTCGCCCGCCGGCACTGAGCAGCTCGGGTTGAAGCTCTCGCCCGCCTGCACCAAGCAGCTCAGGTTGAGGCTCTCGCCCGCCTGCACCCAGCAGCCTGGGTTGAGGCTCTCGCCCGCCGGCACCGATGGCTCCATCCTCTCCATCGCGATGGCGACACCGGCCACTGGCACTGCCAGGCGGAGAGGGGGTCAGGCCGGTGGCAGCGGCCGTCCCCTGGCACGGGACGAGGTGATGCTGTGGGTGGGGGGCAGCTGAAGCCAGAGGGCCCTGCTCACCCAGCACGCTGACCCACAGCGGCGGGCTGTCCGCCGCGGTGTCGCCGTTGGTGGCCCTGCAGTGGTAGCGGCCGCCGTCCCGCTGCCGCACGGCGCGGAGCTCGTAGCGGGGGCCGGTGGCCAGCGGCACGGCCGAGCCCTGCCGGTGCCAGGAGAAGGAGAGGGGCCCCGTCCCCGCAGCCACCGAGCAGCCCAGCACCAGGCGGTCGCCCTCCGCCACCTCCCCCTCAGGGGGCTGCACCACCAAGGACACCCCCGAAACTGGGACCCCTGCGAGGAGGAGACAGGGAGGGACAGGGGACCCAGGGAGGGGTGGGGGGGACCCAGAGAGGGATGGAGGAGACCCCTGGGAGAGATGTGGAGACCTGGGGAGGGTTGGAAGGAGCTGGGGAGGGATGGAGGGACCCAGAGAGAGATGGGGGGGACCAGGTGGGGATGGAGGGACTCAGAGATGGATGGAGGGACACTGGGAGGGCTGTGGGGACCTGGGGAGGGATGGAGGGACCCCAGGGAGGGATGGAAGGATCTGGTGAGGTACAAAGGAACATGTGGAGGGATGGAAGGACCTGGGAAGAGATGGGGGGACGTGGAGAGAGATGGGGGGACCTGGGGAGGGATTAGGGGACCTAGGGAGGCATGCAGAAACACAGGTAGGCATGGGAGGGATCTGGGGAGGGATGGAGGGATCCCAGGGAAGGATGGAGGGACATGGGGAGGGATGTGGGGTGCCAAGGAGGAACCCGGGGACCTGGGGAGGGCTGCAGGGCCCTGGCACATCCCCATCCCTCCTGCACACTCACTGTGCACAGTGATGGTGACCGGGGTGCTGTGTTTCTGCACGCTGGTCATCTCCGTCCGCACCTCGCAGGAGTAGTTCCCCGAATGGGACAGCTCCACGGCCGGCAGCAGGAGCTGGGGGGAGTCCTGGGGGCCCCCCACCACCACCTTGTCCTGGTAGAAGACGTGCTGGAGGCGGGTGAGGGGCCGCAGGGGGCTGAGGCGGCTGAGGCAGCCCAGGGTGAGGGGCGCTCCCTCGGGGGGCTCGGCCGGGCCCTCCAGGCGCAGCACTGGCACCGAGAAGAGCTCTGGGAAGGATCCAGGCAGGGGGACGGTGACCCCGAGCCCACTGAGGAAGGGGGGCTGCACCCCGCTGGGTGGGTGTTGGGGAGTGGGCGCTCACCTTCCACCACCACCGGCACCAGCACCGACCTACGCCACTGCGCTATGATGTGGCGCACGGTGGCCTCGCAGTGGTAGCGCCCGCTGTGGTGCAGCTGCAGGGTGGGCAGGCGCAGCTCGGTCCCCTGGGACGGCCTCCCCAGCAGCTTCCACTCGCGGTAAAACAACACCTGGGTGATTCCCTTGTCCTTCCAGCCCCGGCAGCGCAGCCGCAATGTGTCCCCCTCCAGCAGCGTCTGCGCTGGCACCTGCAGCACCAGCCAGTCTGCAAGAGAGGGCACAGGGATGCAGCTGGTGGGCTCTTGTTGCACGGGGACGCGCCGGTGTGCACGGGGACGCGCTGGTGTGCACGGGGATGCAGCCGCTGTGCGCAGGGGATGGACCTGTCGTGCACAGGGATGCCCCCAACACGCACGGGGATGTGCTGGTGTGCGCAGGGATGCCCCCGGCGACACACAGAAGATGCAGCCAGTGTGTGCATGGACACACCTGTGTGCACGGGGATGGGCTCCCAGCACACAAGGGGAGAAGGGCTGTGAAACAGAGCCCACCCAGAGCCCCGGGGGCACCCATCCTGCCCCTCACCTTCGGAGAAGGTCAGGGTGATGGGGGGGCTGAGGCTGGCGCCGGGGCTGCGGCACCGGTAGATGATGCTCTCGGCACGGCTCCTGGAGATGCGGATGTGGTCGGGCCCTGCCTGGTACCAGAGCTGCTCGTTGATGTACCAGTCAGTGGGGCCGGGCGAGCTGGACCCCCCGCACCTCAGCGTCACCTCCTCCTCCGTGAACACCGTCATCCAGGGGGGGGTTAGAATGAGCTGGCTGGGCTGGGCACCTGCGGGGTGACAGGGGACACCAGCCTGCCAGGGTGACCGACAGGGTCTGGGGACAGTGGGGTTGGGGGCCGGCAGCAAGGACTCACCAGCGAGGCCGAGGGCTTGGGCTGGAAAGGATAAAGGGAGACGGGCTGGGTGGGGGCTGTCCCCAAGCTGCCCCCACGGAGACACCAGCACCCATGGGAAAGGACGGGGGGACGGTTCCCAGGGCAGCTGGGAGAGCCCCGGGGACACGGCTGCGTCAGAGCCACCCACGCACCGCACCTGGGCAGCATGGCCACCCCGGGCTGGTGCCGGGCTCGGGGACACTGCCACCACCCCCCCGGGCTGGCGCAGGGCTTGGGGACACTGCCACCACCCCCCCGGGATGGAACAAGGCTTGGGGATGCTGCCACCACCCCCCCGGGATGGAACAGGGCTCGGGGACACTGCCACCACCCCCCCGGGATGGAACAGGGCTCGGGGACGCTGCCACCACCCCCCCGGGATGGAACAGGGCTCGGGGACACTGCCACCACCCCCCCGGGATGGAACAGGGCTTGGGGACGCTGCCACCATCCCCCCAGGATGGAACAGGGCTTGGGGACACTGCCACCATCCCCCCAGGATGGAACAGGACTTGGGGACGCTGCCACCACCCCCCGGGATGGAACAGGGCTCGGGGACACTGCCACCACCCCCCTGGGCTGGCGCAGGGTTTGGGGACACCTCTGCCGGCCCCATGGCACCCATCCCCATGGATGGGTGGTTCCCCACAGAACATGGCCCTGTTCCCACAGTCCCATCCCCATAGCACCTGTCCCCACAGCCCCATCTGCATGGTGCTTGTCCCCACATCTCCATCCCCACATCTCCATCCCCACGTCCCCATCGTTGCCGTGTCCCCAACCCCACAGCCCTGTCCCCGTGTCTCCACCCCCACAGCCACCCCAGCTACGTGGTGCCAGTCCCCACATCTCCATCCCTGTGATGCCTGTGCCCCCATCTCTGTCCCCTCCTCCCTGTCACCCCATCCCTAGCCCCACGGCCCCAGGCACACCAGAGGTACAACCCCACGTGCTGGCTCTGCTGGTGTTTGGGACCTGGGGGGACCCCGCAGCCACCCAGCAGTCCCTCAGAGCCACCACGCTCTGCCTCAGCCCAAAGCGCCGGGGGGTCCGGGCGCCCATCCCTGTGGCGTCGGGCCCCGTGCCCAGCCCTGTGACCCGTGCCCAGGCACTCACCCCAGAGGAGCAGTGCCGCGCTCCTGGCCATCCCCGGCACTGGTGGGGCCCTTTGCATAGCAGCTATTTGAGGAAAGGGGAAGGAAGCGACTTCCGCGTCCCCAGGGCTTCGCCCCGGCCCGGGGAGCACACATGACTGGCAGCACACGTCGGGGACGTGCTCGGTCACCAGCGAGGGATGAGGATGGGTCTGGAGGAACTGCTGGTCCCTTCGTCTGGGGGGGACCCTCTGCGCACCAGGACCCTCCAAGGATGTGGGGCCTGAGGGGTCCCAAGGGTGTCCTGCACCCATGAGGAGCTGGGACCCCAAGGGGCTGGGACCCCACGGGGCTGGGACGCTGAGGGCTGGGACCCCAAGTGACTGGGACCCCAAGAGCTGGGACCCCACGGGGCTGGGACCCCAAGAACTGGGACCCCAAGAGCTGGGACCCCAAGAGCTGGGACCCCACGGGGCTGGGACCCCAAGAGCTGGGAACCCAAGAACTGGGACCCCAAGAGCTGGGACCCCACAGGGCTGGGACCCCAATAGCTGGGACCCCAAGGGGCTGGGACCCCACGGGGCTGGGACGCTGAGAGCTGGGACCCCAGGGGGCTGGAATGCTGAGGCGTGGGGCCCCAAGTGACTACTGGGGCCCCAAGGGGCTGGAACGCTGAGGGATGGGACCCTGAGAGCTGGGACGCTGAGGGCTGGGATGCCGAGAGCTGGGGTCTTGGCAGCTGGGACCCCAAGGGCTGGGACCCCACGGGGCTGGGACCCCACGGGGCTGGGACCCCATGAGCTGGGACCCCAAGAACTGGGACCCCACAGGGCTGGGGCCCCAAGAGCTGGGACCCCACGAACTGGGACCCCACGGGGCTGGGACCCCAAGAGCTGGGACCCCAAGAGCTGGGACCCCAGGGGGCTGGGACCCCAAGAATTGGGACCCCACGAACTGGGACCCCACGGGGCTGGGACCCCAAGAGCTGGGACCCCAAGAACTGGGACCCCAAGAGCTGGGACCCCAGCGCCCAGGACCCCGCGGGCCGCCCCCGCCTGCGCTGTCCCGGCCCGGGGGGGGCGGCCCCGCCCCGCCCCGCCCCGCCCCGCCCCGCCCCGCCCCGCCCCGCCCCGCCCCGCCCCGCCCCGCCCCGCCCCGCCCCGCCCCTTGCACTGTGGCGCCGCCTGGCGGGCGCAGGGCGGAGCTGCGCCGCGAGGGGCGGGGCTCGCAGAGGCGGCGTGCCCGGGCGGGGGGGCGTGGCGCGGCGGTCCCGCCCCCTCCGCGGCGGAGGCGGAGCGGCGCGAAGATGGCGGCGGAGCCGGGCCCGGGCCCGGGCCCAGACCCAGAGCTGGAGGAGCTGCTCGACAGTGAGGGGGGGTGCGGGGGGTGCGGGGGGTGCGGGGGCTCACCGGGGCCGGAATGGGGCTGGGGGGGCAGTGGGGTTTGGGGGGGTCACTGGGGTGCAGCGGGGCTGGGAGGTCATTGGGGTCGGAATGGGGCTGGGGGGGCATTGGGGTTTGGGGGGGTCACTGGGGTGCGGCGGGGCTGGGGGGTCACTGGGGTGCGGTGGGGCTGGGGGTGTCATTGGGGTGCAGTGGGGTTGGGCGGTTATTGGGGGTGCAGTGGGGCTGGGGGTTACTGGGGTGCAGTGGGGCTGGGGGTTATTGGGGTGCAGGGGGGCTGGGGGTGTCATTGGGGTGCAGTGGGGTTGGGGGTTACTGGGGTGCAGTGGGGCTGGGGGTTATTGGGGTGCAGTGGGGCTGGGGGTTACTGGGGTGCAGTGGGGCTGGGGGTTATTGGGGTGCAGGGGGGTTGGGAGGTTATTGGGGTGCAGTGGGGCTGGGGGTTACTGGGGTGCAGTGGGGCTGGGGGTTATTGGGTTGCAGTGGGGCTGGGGGTTACTGGGGTGCAGGGGGGCTGGGGGCTATTGGGGTGCAGTGGGGCTGGGGGTTACTGGGGTGCAGGGGGGTTGGGGGTTACTGGGGTGCAGTGGGGTTGGGAGGTTATTGGGGGTGCAGTGGGGCTGGGGGTTACTGGGGTGCAGTGGGGCTGGGGGTTACTGGGGTGCAGTGGGGCTGGGGGTTATTGGGGTGCAGTGGGGCTGGGGGTTACTGGGGTGCAGTTATTGGGGCACAGCGGGGTGGGGGGTGTCGGGGCTGGGCGGGCGCTGGGAGGGCCGCGGGGGGAGCCGGCCTGTGCCGCGGGGCGGGGTTCCTTATGGGGTGCAGGGACCTACCTCGGGGGTGTGTCCCTGGGCCAGGGGTGCCCGGGGGTCCCCGCTCAGCCTGGCCCCCTTCCCAGGTGCCCTGGACGACTTCGAGAAGGCCCGGCCCGCTGCCCCCCCGCCGCCGGCCCCCGCCGGGGCGCAGCCCTCGCCCAGCGCCGCCGCCAAGGTGCGACGCCGCCGGGACGCGCCGGCCGCCCTCGCCCCGGCCCGCGGGGGGGGGGGCTGACCGTGCCCCTCTCCCCAGGCCTCCCTCTTCGCCTCGCAGGAGAGGTTTTTCCAGGAGCTGTTTGAGGGGGAGCTGGCCTCGCAGGCGGCGGCCGAGTTCGAGCAGGCCATGCAGGAGCTGGCCCGGGAGGAGCCGCACTTGGTGGAGCAGTTCCAGAAGCTGTCGGAGGCGGCGGGCAGAGTGGGTGAGCGGGGGGCCCGGCACGCTGCGGTCCTGCCGGCCGCAGCCCCTCGCCGGGCCTAAACGGCACGGCCATCCCCCAGCGCTGGCTGGGTCGCACAAGCCCCTCGTTGGGGAGTGGGGTCCCCAGGACCCTGACACTTGCCTGAGTGGGGTGCTGTGGGGTGCGGGGTGTCGTCCCGAGTGCCGCGGGCTCCCCGAGCCTCCTTGATGTCAGCCAGCACTGCAGCGGAGCGGGAGGAGGAGAAGGTTTGGGGGCTTCTGGGGGACACCCCGGTCCCGCAAGCCCCTCATTTGGGACTGGGGTCCCCAAGACAAGACCCTGACCCTGGCCTGAGCGGGGTGCTGTGGGGTGCAGCGGGGTACCTGTGTGCCACGGGCTCCCCGAGCCTCGCCAGCCGGCACCGTGGTGGAGCGGGACAAGGTTTTGGGGCTGTTGGGGGACACCCCGGTCCCGCAAGCCCCCCGTTTGGGAGCGGGGCCCCCCAGACAAGACCCCAGCCCTTGCCTGAGCGGGGTGCCGCGGGGTGCCCGGCGTCTCCCCGTCCCCGACCGGCGTCCCCTGGTCCCCGCAGGCAGCGATGCGGCGTCGCAGCAGGAGTTCACCTCCTGCCTGAAAGAGACGCTGAGCGGCCTGGCCAGGAACGCCACCGACCTGCAGGTACGGCCGCCTGCCCCCCGGCCAAGCGGGGTGCCCCCCGGGGGTCCCCCCGCATCCTGGGGGGTGGCTGACGGTGTCCCTGCAGAGCTCCTCGGCCTCGGAGGAGGAGCTGGCGAAGGCGCTGGAGGGGCTGGGGCTGGAGGAGAGCGACGGCGAGGGCAGCGTCCTGCCTGTCATGCGGAGCATCATGCAGAGCCTGCTCTCCAAGGATGTGCTGTACCCCTCGCTGAAGGAGATCACCGAGAAGGTGGGGGGCCCGCCGGGGGGGCGGGGCAGGTGCGGGGGTCCCGGCGTGACCCCCCGCCGCCCCCTTGGCAGTACCCGGAGTGGCTGCAGCGGCACGGCGGGGCGCTGCCGGCCGAGCAGTACGAGCGGTACCGGGCGCAGCTCGGCGTGATGGGCCGCATCTGCCGGCAGCTGGAGGGCGAGCGCCCGGGCGAGGGCGAGGAGGAGCGGCGGGCGCGCTTCGAGACCCTCCTCGACCTCATGCAGCAGGTCAGATGTGCCCCCCCCACCCCTCCCCAGGACACCCGTAACCCCCCAGCGCCCGCTGCCACCCTGACCCCCCGCTCCCCCCACTCTCCAGCTGCAGGATCTGGGGCACCCGCCCAAGGAGCTGGCTGGGGAGTCGGTGAGTGTCTCCGGGGTCCCTCTGGGAGGGCGGGGGGGCTCTGCCTGGTGTCCCCCCCCGACTCACGCCACCCTGCAGCCCCCCGGCTTCAACCTGGACCTGCCGGGGGCGGCAGGTGCTGAGCAGTGCCGACTGATGTAACGGCGAGGCCAGGGCCCCCCCGCCCCGGGGCTGCGCTGCCGAGGACGGCCCCCTCGCCTCGTTACCCGCTAATTAAGACTCCGCCGAGGAGGAGGAGGAGGAGGACGAGGAGGAGGCGGCCGAGAGGAGCCGGAGCCGCGGCCGCCCAGGAGCTGGATGCGGCAGCAGCGGCGCTGCCGTCCGGCGCTGGAGCGGGGGGCTGGTGTGAGGGGGGGGCGGCGCAGGACCCCCCCCCCCGGCCCTGGGGACGTGCGTGTCCCCACCGTGTCCCTAATAAAGATGTTGGCAACTGCACGGGCTCCCTGGGGGAAACTGAGGCAGGGGTGCTTGGCAGCGCCCTGATGAGATGGGAGGGACGGGGGGCGACGCTACAGTGATGGGGGGGGGCGTCCCGGGGCACCCCAAAGAATGCAGCTGGGGAGGGGGCGTGGGAGACCCTACAGTGACACTGGGGGTTCACAGCGTGACCCTGTGGCGCCCCGAGGGGGGTGACCCTACAGGAACATGGGGGGGGGGGCACAGGGTGGCCCTACAGGAACGTGGGGAGGGGGCGACCCTACAATCACATGGCGGAGGGGGGGCACAGGGCGACCCTACAATAACACTGGGACTCAGTAACCCCACAATAACGTGTGGGGGGGGGGGGGGCACAGGGCGACCCTACAATAACTCTGGGAGGGTGGGGGGGTCGCCGCTGCTATGGCGACGGCGGGGCGGGGGGCGTCGGTGTCGCGGCAGCGTCGCGCAGCGCCCGTTGCCGTAAAGCGGCTCCGCGGCGCCGTAAAGCGTCTGGCGGAGGCGGGCATTAAGATGGCGGCGGCTGGGCCCGGAGCCGGTGGCGGAGAAGCAGCCGGCGGCCGCGGGGCCCGCGCCTGAGCGACGGCCGGGAGCTGCCGGGAGTCGGGTCGGTGCGGGGCCTCCCCTCCCTCCCCCTCCCCGCCGCCGCCCGCGGGGCTCGCCCCGGCCCCGGCGGCTCGCCCCCTCCCCCACCCGCCGGGGGGGGGGGGCTGCTCCGGGGGGGCCCAACCCAGGGGGTCCCACCGCCTCCGCGGCGTGCCAGGCCTTTGGGGGGGCTGGGGGGAGAGGCCTTGATACCCCCGTGGGGTCATCGGGCACGGGGGGGGGGGGCGGGCCCTGCGCCTTTTGGGGGGCACTGAGGGGGCCTTGCTGCCCCCAGAGGGTTGCTGTGCCTTTGAGGGGGGCCCTGCTGCCCCCAGGGGGTCCCTGCGCCTTTTGGGGGGCACTGGAGGGTGTCCCTGCTCCCCCCAGGGGATCCCTGCGCCTTTTGGGGGGCACTGGAGGGTGTCCCTGCTCCCCCCAGGGGGTCCCTGCGCCTCTTGGGGGGCAGCGGGGAGGGCCCTGCTGACCCCAGGGGGACCCTGTGCCTTTTGGGGGGCAGTTTGGGGCACCCTGCTGCTTCCAGGGGGTCCCCCCGCATTTTCGGGGACACCGGGGGGAGCTTGGCTGCCCCCAGGACTGTTCTTGCTGGCCCAGTGGGGACCCTGTGCTTTTGGGGGAGTGCGGGGGGGGCTCTCCTGCCCCCTGGGCTGGTTCCTGTTGCCTCGAAGGGCTCATCGGCCCTTGGGAGGGGTTGGGGGGGGGGGGGGGCGTCCCTTCTGCCCCCAGGGTGTCGCCCTCCCTTTCAGGGAGCACGGAGGGGGTCCCTTCTGTCCCCGGGGCTAGTCCCTGCCACCTCTCTGGTGTCATCCTCTCTTTCTGGGGGTGGGCACGCTGAGGGTACCCCAGCCATCCCTGGGGCCACCTCCTGCTGCCCCACAAGCATTGCCCCACCCCGAGGGGGTGCAGAGGGTCCCCTCCTGCCCCCAGGGCTCTTTCCCCAGTGCCCCTGTGGCGTCGCGGTGCCCTGGGGGGGCCCTGGGGGTCCCATCCAGCCCCGGAGCCGGTCCTGCTGCCTTGGTCACGAGGTGGGGGAGGCTCAGTTCTCACCCCTCCGAGGTCTGAACCTCCCTGTCCTCGGGCATTCCTCACCCCCTCCCTTCCACGGCAGCCCCCGAGGGGGTCCCCAGGGAGGAGGGGTCCCCAGGGTGGGCACGGCCGGACCCCCGCCGCCGGGCTTTAACCTGTCGTTTCCGTCAGCTGCCAGCGAACCTCCAGCCCCGGCCTCGGCACTCGCTGCCCGCGGCAGGTGAGTGGGACACCGTGGGTCCAGCAGCACTCGCCTCGTGTCTGTCCGTCTGTCCGTCCCGCGCGCTTGCGGCGGTGGAGCTTAGGGCTACGTCTGCCTCGCTCTCCTTTGCGGTGCTGAATTCTTCGTGTCGGCGGCACGGCCTGGAGCTGCTCCGGCCACTCCCCCGCCTCGCTCCTGTGGGATTTCTCCTGCCAGCCAGGCTTCGGGACCACACCACGCTCCCCTGGGGAGCTGGGAGCGCTGGACAGGGAAGGGGCAGTGCTGAGCCAGCCAGTGCTCGTTAGCCGCAGATAATTAGTCCCTGCCCACACTGGGAGAGGATTCACGCCATCCCCAGTGGCTGTGCTGTGGGATGTCTGGGAAAAGCGGTGGGGGAGGTGGGTGCTACGTCCCCCAGATCCACACTGCTGTGCCCAGGACGCTCCGAGGTGGGGGTTCCGTACCTCTGGGTAATTTCAAATGGGAAGCTGCTTAATTAGCGTCGTCACTAGGACCTGCCGGGCTCCTGGGTAGGTTTGTCATTAACCCAGGCTCTCCCGAACGCGGCCTGCTGGCAGGGTTCTGCCCGCGCCTTGGCAAACCAGAGGCCCCCAGCCGGCCTCTCCCTCGTGAGGCCGTTTAGGGTGGAAACCTGCTCATCGCAGGAGGTTTACCTGGGGGTTTAAACCCCCCAACACCATCCTGGGGGGAAGGAGGGCTCCTCCACAGAGAACAAACGAGGTTCTCTCCATCCAGGTCCAGTGAGAAAACTTCCCTTAAATAGAAGAAGCTCAGCTTAGTCCAGCGCGACCCGTGTGCGGGAGGGTCTTGGTGTAGATGCAGGCACGAGGATCCGCCGCGGTGTCCTGCGGGTATCTCAGCATGCTGGGGTGTCGGAAACCGAGGCGAGGGGCTCTTGGTGGGTCGAAAATACCCCACGCTCGCTCCTGGCCCTGTTGCTCCTCTCCGTTACGTAGCTCGAACACGGCGTGGGTGCCGAGCGTCCGTGGAGCCTGGCTACTGGGGTGTTTATATAGCTTTGTAAACATTTTAATGACAGATCGTTCAGGGACAGCGCAGCTGCGAGCGCTAGGTTTCTAGCTGTAAAGCGCGGGGTTGGCGACGCTGCGGCGCGTGGCTGAGTCCTGTGGGTGCTGTGGAGGGGTGGGGAGCCTTGGGTGGCAGCGAGGGGCCGGAGCTGGCTGCCGCACGGAGCACGGCCTGCGTCCCGCCAGCTCATGGCGTTACAGGTTGGGGTCGCAGCTCGGGATGGAAAGGACCATCTCCTGGGCACCGCCGCTGGAGTTGCTGACTGGTGTCGTGCTGGTCTGGGGGCCTGGAGCCTGGCGAGGCAGCGGGAAGCCCTGGCAGTGTGGGTCCCAACACGCTGGGGCAGCGCCCGCAGCTCAGTGGAGGCGGCTGGGAGGCTGTGGCATGCAGAGGGATATTTTTAGGGCTGTCGCAAGGGTGCTGGAGAGTCAGGCTTCGAGTATGTGAAGCTGGGAGCGCTGATCCTGCCCAGATGTTGGCTCCAGGGAACTGCGAAGCTCCTGGGTCTGGCACCGCGCTGGGTTCACTGGCTCCAGCCGTGTGCTGCCTTGGCAGGGAAACCCAGCCTGGCGCTGGTGTCTTGGTGACAGGCTCAAATCTCTTGGTGAGGACTCGGGGCTCTCTGTGGGGCCGGGGTGTCCCAGCTCCCTCCAGTCCACGCTGAGCAGTGTCTCGTGGCTTCCCTCGACCAACGCTCCCTGGTTTGGGGCGGTGGAAGCGATACCTTCGGTGCTGTCTGTGTTTCCAGCCGCCGGTAGCTCGGGTGCGGGGTTCCCCCATGTCCGCTTGTCGGCTGTCTGCCCCAGCCCGAGCCCTCGAGTGCCGTGCCGTGCCGTGCCGTGCCGTGCCGTGGGGCTGCCAGTCGACGCACGCTTTCATCTCCCTGCCACGTGAACGACTTTGGTGCCTGCGAGCGGAGCTGGTGGGTGGCTGGGGAGGCTGACGCAGAGCTGGCGGAGCCGAGCGCTCAGCCCGGCTACTCGTTGGAACTGGGCGGCCGGCACAGGCTGGTGTCGTGCTCCCAGGAGTGGAAGGTGGCTGGGGATCCCCATGCTGGCAAAGGCCGTGCCTGTCACTGCCATGGCAGCTGGGGGCTTTTTCCCTCAGTTTGGTTAACCTCCTAGCGAGGTTACGGTCCTCTGGTGTGGGTGGATGAGACATGAAGTCAGGGTAATTATTTGGTAATGGATTCCTTTCCTCTGAAAGTGCGTTTCTTATGCCTCACCTTCGTGAAAAGTCTGCCATGAAAGGGTGTTAATGACAGATCTGAATAGGTAATTTGGCAGAGGAAAATAGCTACCGAGGAGCAAAGTCCAAACCCGATTCCTTCTGTACGTGCAAAGACTCTCCCAGCCCCTTGGATTAATAATGCCACCGAAGGCACAATAGCTGGCGGAGTGAAAGTCAACCTGTTGATGGACTTTCCAATCTCCTAACGACTCGAGCGCGGGGAGTTAAGCCGTAGCTGAGCACTGCGGTGTTTTGAGCCTGTTCCTTAGTCATCCGGCCTGGCGGGTGCCGCACGAGGGATGGAGTCGCCTTGCTGCTTAGAGCAGTAAATTAAAACCAGTCCTGCCCCAGCTCCTGCCTGGTCGTGCCCGCGGCCCCCGGGGACAGACCTGGCTGGGCACGGGGCACCGTTCACAGTGCCGCAACCTCGCCGGCTGATGAGCGCGAGTCGCCCCCGCCGTGGCGGTGAGTAATCCCCTGGTAGGGCTGAGCCTTGGCGCTCCTCCCCGCCGTGCCGCCGGCGCGAAGCCTTCACGTGCCGAGAGCCGCCGGCCCTGGGGGGACGGGCTCGGCACCGCGCCTGGCTGCGGGCGCCGAGCAGAGACCCGACGGGTTTGGGCAGGGGAGAGGAGGGCTGAGGCTCTGGGGCAGCTCGCGTCCTCCCTCTTTGCTTTTCAGCCCTTTGCTCCCCCTCTCCACAGTGTCGGTGGTTTTAAAGTGATTCTGCACGGGCTGGCAGTGCCAGCGGGGGAATAGTTAAAACCGAAGCTGCAGAAAACACTTTATCTTTTCCTCCTGCGCTACTACTCTTGTTATCGAGCGAGCGGCTGCAGTCGGCTGAAGCTCACCGGTGTTTTCAGTTGTATAAACTTGGTTTCCTTATAAA